TTTTGCTTGAGTGAATAGGTAATTTAAAAAACACTGTTGATACAACAGGAAGCTTGGCTACAATGCATAAATTAAGGAAAAAAATAATCTTTATTCTTAAGGGGTTGTAGGCTTTATAAGATGAAAGAGATAACACAAAACATATGACCAGTTTCCCTTTATGCTACCCATAGAAAAATTTCTTTCCTTTGAGGTCATTTGCACCTCACTTCCAATTTCCTGAAAAGCTCATTTGAAACACACCCATACAGAAGCCTACTTATGTTCCTTCATTTCTGATGTAGGGATTGGAGACCGGGAATGTCTCTTCTGGTCTGTGAGCCTTTATTGTAGCATTGACTGTGTGATGATTATCCTATTATTTTATCAGATTTTATCTTAATCACTAGATTTTCAGGACCTCATTATTCCTAAAACAAAGTTGTTTCGAGTTCCAGTAATGGTTTGATTATCCTCCTGAACATCATCATGCTCTTTGTCTTCCCTGATATTTAGCCTCAAATATATTTTTAGAAAGAACTCACAAAATTCCAGTTCTAGTTTTTATCATACTAAATAACACTCACACTTTCAGCCTCCTGTCATTTCATGCTGGTAGCTGGTTCCCATTCCAGTTTGCATTAGGCTTTCTGGGTTTGTCTCTATGAAGGTTCACCAGTGACGCATCAGCAGTAATGTTGTGTTGTCTTACCTCTACTGTAAACAATCCTCCTAATTTATCCTAGGGATAAATTTGTTTCTTTGAGTGCCACATGGCATGGTTGGTTATAGCTGTTTTTAGGCTATAACCATTTCAGGTCAACAGATATGGTCAGATTTTTCCTTCCCTTTCTCTTCCCACGTCTACCTGATAACCTACAGCTCTTGGGTTATGAAAGGCCTGGTTCTGATCCATGTATATAAATGTTTGCATTTTTAATACTCCAAGCCAAAAGGTGGTCCCAAGGGTTTCCTAGGTAGTATATTGATCATCTTTTGTATTGATTAATATTCCCCACTTTGTGATCAATAATGTCATTAATCCAGTCATAGCTCTCAATTCCTAAATTAGATTGGGAATTGTCCCAAAAACAACCCACAAGGTCTGTAACTTCTGCCTTTCCTTCAGCCTAGTGTTCTGTTTCCAGCACAGGCTGTGATCAGTCCCCCGCCCTCCAGTTCCTCATGCATCTTAAAATTCCTGTGCTTATACCCCTCCTTCCCTACTTAACTGGTTATTTCCCAGAGGGAACCTGTTACCATCAAAGTGTTTTCTTGACTCAATTGTTCAGGCATAATTCTGTGAGGTATTGTCCAGATGGTACAGGGTGTCACAGACAAGCATCCTCCAGTATCATTACAGTGATGGGAGCAGAGAGCCCTCAGCATGTTTCAAAACATTGTTGATACGGACTGTAAGGACCCCTCCTCAGCAGAATGTCAAAGGTCTGCTTTTTCTTGCTGTGTTTGCCCTAAGGAATTTACTTTTTACAGTTTAACTGCATTATTAGCCATAATGTAGTCACTATTTAGCACTTTTTGCAGTCCATCTTTGCCAAACGTAGGATGCAGTGTCTCCTGACTCCATTTGAAGTGAAGATTTTCAAAGTGAAAAAATGTAAAAGCATTTGACATAATTTAAAAAGTGGAAAACCTGCTTACAAATATAGTATTATGCATTTTTTAATTCCCTTACCTCTTCAGCTGACTTTTTTTTTATTTTAAATAGCAGATACTACATTAAGTGGACTGCTTGTTTCAGTAGTTTTAACAACTAATTTTACTAGATAGCTATATAAATTTGAATAGTATTTTGCTTCTCTGTTAAATACAAGGGAAAGAACTGGCATTGCAACTTCTATCCCTTTAATATGCATTATTGCATTTTCTATGGTTTTGCATAATAGTAGTATTGTGAAACATCTGTAGTATTCACTTTGCATACATTTTGGCAGGTAGAGTACCTCACCAATGTGGCAACAAGAGTATAAAAACATGGGAAAAAGTCATCCCTGTTTAAACTTAATTCTGTGTATCACTGAGTCAAAGGAGGTGGTAGTCTGTCAGTGAAGAAAAACATACTGGATTTTTTTTTCTCTCTTAAATAGCTGTGGAAGTTATGTTTAAAACAAAAAAGAGTTATTTTTCTTTTGTAGAAGTTTTCCTTCCCTAATAAAATAGAAAAGTCTGTTCATGTATTATTTAAAGTGTCTTCCAAGAAACACAACTGCAATACTGGTTGAAAGAGAAAAGGATTACTATCATTTAAAGGAAAGAAATGGAAAATCTTTAAGGTCATTTCTTTTCATGACAAAGAAACTTTAAAAGCATGGCAGACAGAATCTTCAAAGGTTTTAAAGTCCTGTCATCAGCTCCCAATCAATAGGAGTTAGATACCCAAATTAGGAGTTCAGTTCAAGTCTTCAAAGGTATTTGGGCGCTTAACCTCCTTTTACCTTTCACATCACTTCTAAGAAAAAAACAGCAGCTCGATTGAAAACATTTTGATGCAGTCCCTTCATGTCCAGCACCTGGATAATCTGTAGCACCCTCTGATAATTAGTGTAGTGGATACTTCTCTTGAAAGTTTGTTACTTGTTAGAATTTGTGCAGAGTTGGTCATGTTTATGAAATCGATTTTCTTTGTGAAACAAAAATTTGCTTTACAGTTTGTTTAGTAAGAAAAAAAATCAGAAGTACACTGTATAGCATTTCAGTACACTGAAGTAACATTAATGTTTGCAGAGACTGATAATTCCAGTGAATCTGCAAAACTCCAGAGTCTGTATTAACTGAGGATGTGGATGAAACTGATTTCCTTGTAAAGTTATACAGGTACTGTTCTACACCTTGACTTTCCCAGTCTGTGATTGAACATTTACCTGTGCAGGATAAAGCTCCAGCCAGATAACTGACACTACTATCATTGTAACAACCCAGACACCATCTATAATATGCAAAATATGTTGCCTATCATAGATATTCTCTGCACTATAGCTTCTCTCAAAGTTGCCAAGCATCCACCTAAAGGAGGATCCTGCTGAGAGCTATGCAGCGCAGTTAGAACCACCCCTGCTTTATTATTATTAAGTGTTTGTAGAAATCTTAGATGGTTCCTCTCTACTTGAAGTGCTCTCTCTGATAGCAGTGCCTGGGGCATACACAGTGGAAGTGGCAGTGCCCTGTGTTAACATGGAAATGCTGTTTGTTTACAGTCTTGAGTCACTGAATCCTTCCTGTCAAGCCAAAAGCTTTCATTATAATGCAGGCACTTACCATCTCCACAGCCTGCTCTTGAGTGACATCAAAACATAAGCTGGAATTTGTCATTATTATTGTCATATGCCTCAGAGTTCGTGAATGGGCTGTGGAACCCAAAGCCTTGGGCGCTGAGTGGCATGTTTGGTCTTTTGGAGGAACAATTCTGCCTCTGGTCCAACATTTACATCTCTGAGACAGTTGTCACAGCTGCTCCCGGTAATGTTGACTGTCATGTTTTTAGTGCAGAAGCACCTCGTCTGAATAGCTAGGCAGTGGTTACACTCCACATTTTACAGATTTTCTCTTTGTTCTGTATCAGTCTGGCCTTTCTTCAGAGTTGGTGCTGAGAGCTGGTAGCTTTGGGGAGGGAAATGGATGGGGCAGAGCAGACACATTTTCTTTCCTGCATTTATATGCAACTTGGGGCCCTTGGTGGCTCTAAAGGGCAGCCCCTGCTGCCCCGCTGTCAGTCTGGCTCCCAGTGCCAGAACCATCCACAGGATTCTTGCTCCGGCCACTGCAGATGGGCAGCTGCTGAGCAGGAGGAAATGAGTCTCAGCAGGCACAAATCTATGGCCTGTGTTTTTATTCTATCTATTTCTTTCAAATGGAAAACAATCCAAACAGTTTCTGAGGATGAGGGATATAAATCTGTCTGCTGCTATTTATACCGTGCTCGTCACTACAAGTGTCTAAATGCTTAAAGTACGTATTTGCTGCCTAACCTGAGGTGGTCTTCAAGCCTCCTGGGCTGTCACAAGCAGGCATGTCTCAGACCAAGAGCAAAGAGGAGTCCTAGGGGATGTCCAGGTCTCATTCTTCCTCCTGCTCAAGCTGGGGCAGGTTGGCTCTTAAGCTCGAGGCCCCTGGGGCATTGGGAGAGTGGTAAGATGGACCTCTCTGCCTGACACTGTTGAATGGTGATCCAGAGGAGTGACTTGCATCAGTGCAATAAGCATCTGCCTAATTATCCATTAACACTGAAAGGAACATTTTGTGTTCTGAGCCTCGCAGACAGCGCTGGGAGTGCTCTGCTTGTTTGGGTGGGTAGACAGCAGTGCATGTCTTTTGAACAAGGTCATAAAAAATGGATGTGTCTGTTCTGGCTAGTTATTTTAATAAATAACTTCCTTTTGCTTTTATTTGAATAATAAGATACCCCCTTTCTGTCTGATCTCTTTCAAACATCCACTTTCACCACGTGTGCCTACATGTTACTCTTCATTCCCATATTCTACATGGACATTCAAACAATATTAAAACCACTGATTCATTGAAATACTTTATAAACTGTTGTTGTTAGTCACTTTTGTATTGACCGAATTTTTCATTGGTAATATTGTTGGCAGCAGTCCATGTCTGCCTGGCTGGAGGCCAGTTTAAGCTAGGCAGGATGAGCCCTATTGTTCAGCAGACTTGGATTTTGTTAAACTCCCTAACAGAAATATGTGTCAGGAGATTTGCAGCTATAAATTGGATCATGTTGGTGAGGTTGGGAACTCGCTCAGTGCGAAATTGAACATTTCGCCATGCCTGTTGCTAAATGTGTTTGTGCATGTTTCCTCCATGGGTTTCAAAAAACAAAAGGAAAAAAAAAGAAAAATGTATGAAAAAAGCTGAACCTGTTGAGCTCTGTCTTTACCTTCTACAGCTGGTACTTTCTTTAATGTTGAGTGCTTGAAAAATGCATCAATGCTTGGTTTTGTGTACTGAAATGCTAAAAGCGAGTTTGTTTTCCCTTTTCTCTCTGTGTCTTACAGGCAGTCAGATGCCACCGCAGCCTCCTGGCAGCCAGTCAGAATCCAGCTCCCACCCTGCCTTGAGCCAGTCACCAATGCCACAGGACCGAGGTTTGTTAGGTGCTGGGGTTTTTTCAGCTGGTGCCAAATGCAGCCTTCATTTTAAGTTGCACATTAGCAATGTGGGATTTCCTGGTATTTCTTTTCTTTTCCCGGGGAAAATAACAACAGTCTTCGTTGTAAAGGGCTTGGGGGGTTTCCGTCTCTGGGGAAAGAGCAACCGAATAGCAGGTTTTACCAAACTATAATTGAAAACAAGGATTTCTCAAAATACAGTGAATGCCCAGGGTATAAAGGCAGTTTCTGTAAATACTTGAGTCGTGTCCTGGAGAATACAGCTCTTTGTTGTCTATCTTGGAATTAAGATGTAGAGAAAGAGTGCTAACTAGAAGCAGTTTTGCTACTGTTCTTAAAATTGTCATCTCTAATATATTTGCATGGACACGATAGTCCTTTAGCCAGTTCTAGGATAAAAATATCTTTAAATATAAAGGGAAATCAAATATTTAGGTCAAATGGTTCAAACATTTGGAAATCTTGCTATGGAAAACCTTGCAGGCAAGAGCATTGTGCTCCCTTACCATGCTCACAAAAATAAGCAGAGCATTTTTAAGTTAAAGTTACCTTTTATAAACTTGAAGCCCTTTTTCCTTCACTTCTTTTCTCCCTAGCTCATGGGAGATAGTTGTCACAGCTTTGTTGTGTGGCCATACATGCGATCAATTGCTGTAAACTGGGCATCCTGTCCATGCAGTGGTTAACATGTGCCAGTGACAGGCTTGCAAAACAGACACATGATAACTGTGATAAACATGGAGTTATTTATGAAATGCCCGTCCTAAAATGTCTTGCTTCCAGAAATATCCCAAGTAGCACCATATGGGGATACCATAAATACTAGAAGTTTTCTCACAGTGAAACAAGTTGAACTCACAGAATGACAAATTTCTGGGATAGCATCCAGGAGGAGCTAAGAGGACTCACAAAGAAGAGCAGAGAGTCTTAATTTTTGCTATTTTTCTGGGTTGAATGTCTCCTCCTCCAGGAATGCTGATTAATGAGAACATGAAATACAGAATTTCGTGCTCATTTGTTTTGCTTCCTTTTCAGTCATTCTTCATTCTCAGTTGTTAGTTCAGGGACATATTTTCCCATTAAAAAAAAAATTCAGAATAACGTACATGTTTGGTGAAAAAAAGAGTGGCCTCAAAAAACAATACAAATATATGATGCTTTGTGGGATAGAAATGTCACAAGATAGCAGGAATGGATCGGATGGAGGCTTTGAGGACCCAGACATCTCAGAAAGATGTGTGCATTTCCTGGCACAACTGGGTCTTGGCATAAAATGTTATAGTGCCCAGTAATAATTATTTCTGCAGTGTGTGTTCCTCACCTGGCTTTGGGGGACAAGTTACACAGGTCTGACAGAGATGGAAGGATCGAACCTCTCTGTTCTGCTGTAGAAGAAAACTGGTGTTCAGTGTATAGTCAGGAGAGGCAGACAGGTATTCAGAAGTAAAACAGAAGACAGCTGCCATAATTGGGAAGTCACACAAGTAAGTAACAGTGAGGGAAGTAAAATTTACAGATTGATTTTGAGTTTTTTTCCTCTCTGCAGTGAGAGTTGTAGGTATGTTCTTTGAGAAAATGCATTTAGGAATGTTGCAGGTTTTGCACACTTCATATGCAAAATCTGGTCTAATGTACGTGATCCTTGTGATTCAGCTTGTACAAGAAGTCCATTTGTTTCATGCAGGAGATTCAAAATTTGTAACTAGCTAGGTCATATTGATTTTGCAGATCATGTTCCCCAAAGCTTCTCTAAAGTCTGTGCTGTACACGCATAAACATGCGTGCATTCCCTTTTGTGCCCTGTCATTGATTAGAGGCTCCTTTGAAATGGAAAACTTCACCTTTTAAAAAGGCTGTTACATTAGTTGATTCCTTTGCTTGCTTGAACTGGTTTCCACAGAACTTGAAGAAAGGAAGGAGGGGGAATGATGTGGACTCAAAGGGAAGGTGCTTGTCATTTACTGATAAAAACCTGAGCAGAAAATCGTTGCTGCTAAGGACACCTGATCCTTGGGCATCTGTTACAGTAATTTAAACTCTCAGGTTACTGATACACTTTCTCCAAAAAAAGAGAAAAAAAATTAAAGGAAAATGAAAACAAAAACCCCAGAGACACTCCATAGGATAAGGTTATATTGTTTGTTTTCACACTTTGTATAGCATTTGTTTCCTTGTTTAGAGAGAGAATTGGATGACCAAAAGACTACTAATTATTGCTTGAGCAGAATCCTCGGTTCTCAATACTTGAAAAAAATATTATTTATCAGCTATCATGAAGAATGACCAATGGGTGGAGTCTGAGCTGTACTAATTTTGGATGCTCAACCACTACCTTGAACCATTAAGTTTACACATATTTATTTTTTTGTTAAAGTGTTTGGTTATATTTTACCATGCTTTCCATAGTTACTCAGCACCTTTCTGGGATTTTTATGTTTGCCCGCCTAAAACTCTACATCCCCTGTGTCACAATGCAGCATGAAGCAATGACCACTTTTTTACACGTACATTCTGTGTGTGAAAGTAGGGGCATACTAATGTAGTGCATATATACAGTAATAGAAGTTTCCTGGGGGCTTGGATATTTTTTGTGTTCCTCAGGTTTCTTTTTATATAATTTATTTCATACTTTTTGTAATAAACATTAATATGCTTACTTCTAAAAAATAATTTTTGATATTTTCATGTCCTGCTCAAACTGTAGAGCATTTCGACCTGACCAGTGTAAATGTAACCTGCTATTCTAGGCACTTCCATTCTTGTCCCTCAACCCTTGTCCCCTCAACTGGTCACTTTTATTTGATGCCCAATCAGTGAAATGGTTTAGTTCTACCAACACACATTGTCTACCTAAGAAACAAGAAATTACACTTATTTTATGAACATAACCTATTTCTTAGCTGACATGACTTGGAAAGCAGTGGGACTTGCAGTCAAGTCCCATACATCTTAAAGAACTGTTGGAGCTGGACAGCTGTGGGGACAGACTGGTGTCAGAAGTCTCTTGAAGAAGCAGGAGTGTGTTTAACTGCTGCTGAATCCCAGCAGTTACCATTACTTAAGGCTACCATAGTGACAGTGTAGCCATGACTACTTGAGGTAGTCATCGAAACTTGCTATGTTTTTGGGAGTAAGGAGGATGCACATTGTGCTCTCCCTTTATAATAGACCTACTCCAGACTTTCATTTATATGATCAAAAGTAGGGGCTTGATAGTTTGTGTTTATTAAAGTCAGAGTTCTATATCAACTTTTTTTGCATCAGCCCCAGAGGTAGGGCAGCTGTAATACCTCAGCTGTCATAATCATTCAGCAAATACTTGAGGTGCACAGTGACTTGAGTTCCCTATGTTCAGCTGTATCTACTTATTTGTTTGGGTTTCAGAAGCTGTGCTTTGAGGATGTCCTTAGTAGCCAGTACTACGAGCTCAAGGAGTTAGAAGCTATTTCTAGGGATCATATAGAAGCCCAGCACACCCCAAATGACCCTCTAAATTAGTTTTCTGAATCTGCAGCCTGAAAAAGAAACTTGGCCATTATCTTATACTCCTGTTGTTACTTTTGTAAACTAATGAAGATTTCTGTCTGCTTATATGAACACTCACCTGTGCAAGCACTCTGCACAGGAGAGTATTTGTCATAATAATGTTGAAATAGGCGCTTTTACCCCTGCAGGAATTAATGATTTTTTACATAATTCTGAAAAAACCTTAGAAAACTTACCTGCTTTTAAATAGTATTTTCATGCTTATGCAGTTGGGTATGGAGATGTCAGGTTTCAGTCTTATATTAAAATAGTGAATTGGGAGCTCCTGAAAACCATTGAATTTAATGAAAACAGTTAATGACTTCACATTATTACTCTAGCAAGCACTCTCATAATGGGGATACTTAAAGAAGCCTTATTTATTAGTGCAAATGTATATGGGTCAGAATTAATTTTTAAAAAATCTTTAATTGTTTTCCCCTTATAATTTTCACAGCGGTACATAGTTAAATATTCATGATAATGCTGATGATATGCTAAAGGTCTGAAATAGATCTGGAGTCTCAAAATCAACACAGGTTATTTAACCCTTTTCATCTAATGCACCATTGGGAACTTGTGGAGTGAAATCCCAGAGCACTGGAATAATTAGAAGATAGTAATGAGGATTTAATTAGTCCTTGAGATATGCTGAAATAGGACCACTGAGAACTTTTCTTTTTGGACATGGATTGCAAGCAGAATTGATGCAGTTGCAGCTGCTGTGATGTGCTGGAAAATGTATTCCATTGCTGGAGGCAGTTTCATGGCAGCGTTCTGTGCCTGTCAGATCTATGTGGACAGTGCCTGGAGTAATCACCTCCAAAATTGTTGAATAGAAGTTGCCGCCTTCTCTTTCACCTTCTCCTAGTACTTTTTAATTTTTTTCTTTTTTGTGTCATTCTCTCTGTTCTACCTTTACTTCACTCCCTGGTTGACATACAGCTTTTGAGGAGTGTTGTACAGTTATGTGCTCTGTTAGAAACATCTCACAGCCGGGGACAAGGAGTAAGAAACTGCATGCTCTTAAGAGTACAGGTGTTACACTAAGCAAAATTTGGATCCTTTTTGACACTGCTGCTTGTAAGGTTTATCCTCAGATCGTGTCCTTATTTAGTATTAGACCTTCACAGAAGTGATATTTATCAGTAGCTGCAGTGTAGTAAATTTAAATAGCTTTTTTGGCAGTCAAGATGTTATCCAGTAAGAGGCTGTAACAGATGGGATGTGATCAGGCATTTTGATGTTCTCTTTGTGCTTCTCTACAAGCACTAAGTAGCAACTGAATTCCTGTAACTAAAATTTCCTAATTTACCCGTTAGGTTTCATACAGGTACTTTTCTCCCCTTTAACTGTTTTCTGGGCATGCTTATTTGTACATGGTCATTACATAAATTCCACTGTCATGCATTTTCTTCTAACGAAATATAAATGTTTTTGCTTGTGTGGAA